ACCACCAGTCCCACACTCTCCATGTGGTGAAACAAAGGACATTGGGAAAAAGGGGGTTGCATGTCAAACCCATTATTAAAAATCTTTACAACTACAATAATTAATCCAATCACACAAGTGCTATGTTTTGCCCTTAAAACACTAGTTTGTCTTTAAATTAGGACAGAGAATAATTTATTCAGAAAATAAAGTAGCATGACCTTCAGTAAATTGTGCTTCCAACTTATTACAACAATATCTATATATGTTCCCTTGAAAGAATACGGTCAGGTCTTTTTTATTTCCAGTTCTTATTACCACTTTGCACTAACTTTATTTATCAGACTAGGACATGGTGTTAGGCGTGTTAGCCAACACACATCCCACTTGTATCAAACTGTAGATGCTGTTAAGGCTTCTGAATATAATTAGAAATTCTAAAAATGCACTAACACATAAGTTCAAGTGGTGATTCGTTGCTCTGAAGTTTGGACACAGCATTCAGCAGCTTCTGTGGCCCTTTGCTTTTGTTTTTGGTCATGAGCACCTATTTAGAGGCGTTTTCATGGGACTGCTGCCCATTGCGCTCTATTACAATTACTCAGCAGGCATGCATCCCAACCAAGTGATGAAGTGGGTGTTCCAGTGGGTGGATCTGAGCCTGAATGGCCACTATTCTGTGTTCCAGCTACTGGGTACACGGGGTGAGTGGCAAAGAATAGCAGCGACACAGGCAGCCTGGCACAGTGACAGAGAGCATGGTGGACCAGCGGACCAACCACATGACCGCAGGCAACGATCTGAGCCTTCAACAGTGCCTGTGTGCTCAAGTGTCAGGAGAAATGGAGAATTACATTTCAAAGCCCAGTAAATAAAGTTTGTATTGATTTAATCTAACATGTAATCTGTTTTGCTGTCCAGCACTGATTCTGGCAATAAAAGAGAATCATGTAAGACAGCATTATAGATAATACGACCATACATCAAAGGGAGTTTGAGCAGGAGAAGGGCAATACATCATGTTCAAGCCAGACTGCTTAGCTCTGGAATTCATAAACTAGCTCCTAAATCGAGGTGGCTTTCAATTTAAGTTTTCAATTTACAGATAGAAGGTTTGGTGTACACTTGATGCAATTTCATTGTCAACAACAGCAGCAGTTCTGTGCACTGGGTGCAGCATCTCTCTCTCTCTGTCTGTCACTCAACAATAAAACGACACACAGGAGTGTGAGTGCAAAGCAGGTGAATGGATCTGTGATGATTTTATGTGACATGAGAAGAGTGGGTATTTAAACAGGAACACATCACATGACATTCAAGCCCTACATCCTGTTCTGCCAACACATTTCACAAACTCGTTGATTCAATGGTATTTAGAGGCTGTGCTGTTAATGTCATGCTCTTCTTCACGAGCACTTTTCATGTTTCTATCTTTTACCATCAGCAACTTTCTGACACTGAATTTCTCTTTCAATCTAAACATATTTAAAATCCCTTCATACAAACTTCAAACAGCAGTTTTAATGCAATCATTTGGACTCTAGACTGATAGATTCATTGAATTGATAATAATTTATGTTTTATTTATTCAAAAACTTGATTTATCACAGATACTATTTTATAATATTACTCTCTAAACCATGCACAGTATTTTTTACTCTGCTGCAGCTGATCCCCATGAGTGCATCTGACTCCTATCTGAGGATATAGACTTATTGTCTGTACGTTTACTGGTATGAGTATCTTTAACCAATCAAACCTGACCCATCATTAGTTACTGATTTAAGGATATCGATGACAGTAATGTTGCGATTGATGCTATCTGACATTATACACAGTATGGAGTACAAGTGCAGGGACAATGTGAGACGTAAATCAATTGTTCATGGAGAGGCATACGATCATGAGGTGCTAGCACCCCACTGTGGTGTTTAACATTACTGCAGTCAACCGGTGCTCAGCGATGTAGGTGATGCAGATAATTAAAAAGTGACATATATGCTGAAAACTGAGAAGGCTGACATTTTAAATTGTTAATGTGCATAATGTTATTTTGTCTAATATTGAGAACAGGTTGTTTATTGTGACAGTTAACAAAGGCCTGCTCTATTAGGGTTGATATGAAGCCTGGTTTATCCATCACTGCACTCTAGTGTTCAAAATAAGCATGTGCATCTTTGACAAACAATAATAAAAATAATCTTTCATATCATTATAATGTCGAGAACATTCTCATAAATCACTTATTATCAAAACCTCTTTTCCTAAGGCATACTAGATATGTTTCTGTTTAATAAGAGTAGAGACATGATAATGTGATACTAATGAGTATTTCCTTTCTATTCTATTCTAAAATCTAGTTTCAATATTGTGCAATATAGTGCTGATGTACTACTGGGCATCAGTTAAGAGTATGTAAAATGTGTGTTTTGTGACAGTTCAATCTACAAATTAAAAATAAAGAGTGTAATGTCTCCTTGTTTAATAGCCGGCAGTGGTGGAGTCATAATCAATGCAGAGTAAACACTGAACAAGCCACTTATAATCATTCAGTTTGCCTGACATCTCCCCCAAAAACATGAACGCACACACATGAATCTTGTACCTTGTGTGCTCCAGAGAAGTAAAGCTGTGGGGCTCTCCACACTTTGCTGACTTTCTCTCTGAGCTTCTGGACTTTTGGAATGATGAGGCATTTGTCGATGTCCAGCTCTGGGTAGATCACTTCTAGTCCACCACTTTATTGAAGAGAGATAGAAGCTGAACCTCATTGTACACAGTTATGTATTACATTTGGCACTGAGGGAAATTTAAACAGAATCTAGTCTGATATGAAGATGAACAACATGATTAAAAAGGCTCCGATACTATAATGGGCATAAAGTGCTTAAGTAAAAAATGTATTGAGAATAAGAAGCTTCAGTTCAGGATCATCTGCCCTGTTGTAGATTGTTTACTTGTCATTACTCTATGAGCACATCTCTCTGCAGCATTATGATCTACTTACTGACAGAAAGAAGAATCCAGTGAGCTGAGAGTGTCTGGTGATGTTTCCACATGGAAAAGCCCCAAAATGCACAGAGAAAACACCAGAAACGACCCGAGTGCAGCCTGCAGAACAGCAGCAGTCAGTCAGACAAGACCCACTTCAGGAATCTTATTGTAAACCTGAAATTATCAATTAACTTCACTATTACAATACTTCCAAATACTTTGTTGATACATCTATAAAGTGTTTTTCTATAGAATGAGAAAAATATTTTTGAATTACCATAACTAAGATCCCACAGGAAAAAAATGCTTATTTACAAAGCTGATCTGAACATCTTGAAACCTTATGCTGTTGTATAACACAAAATAAGACAAAGAAAAGCAGTGAATTTAAATATAAAAACATTTTCCCTAAAAAATATATGAATTAGTGGACAAGTATCAGTATTAGAGATTGGTTTGAAGTTGACTAATAGATGAATTCACATCTATTACTATGCATTTGCTACATCGTGTTAAGAAGTGTATGCTTCTTTCTGTAGATTCATTGTTTTTATTAATCACATCATGTGAGCTCTACTTCTGGGCCAATCAGAGCCAATGAATACACCTGACCCCGCCCACACCTGTTGAAGACACATCAGCAGCACCGACATGTTTAAATACAATCTACGAGGACTGAAGAAGAATCATCAATAAAAACCCTGATCTGAAATCATATCAATGTTCAGGTCTCATGTGTGTGCACGCTCTGTTTCTGTTACTATATTTAAACTGCTGAAGATAGCTGACACGTCATTCATTTTCTTTGGTGATCTTATATAAGCAAACTTCTGGCTGCAGGATGAATGACACGTGACTCTCAGTAAAGTACATGTGCAGGTAAACACTCGTTAGCATAAGTTTAGCCTTCACTTGTTTGTTTGTTTGTTTGTATTTACGCAGCGTGGCGCGTTTGGACACGGTGCGGTTTGTCCACGCAGTGAGAGAGCAGACATGGGGTGAAGCACGGTCCTCCACCACAGTTTATCTCGACAGTCACAAGTGAACAACGTTACCATGTTCCTCAGGTTGTTCTCCTGCACCTCCGCACACTCCTGCTCCCTCTGGTTCTGACGCTGCTGCTCCGGAGGATGACGATGACGCAGCCACGTAGCGCAGCACGTCACTGACGTATGAGGCCTCAAAAGTTTCACATGACCGAACTGAAAGAAAAACAACTGGCAGAGGCCAAAGTCATTCACATTATGTATAATAAT